TTCTAAAAAATGTTCAAACAAAATTTAATGTTTAACGTAGAGTTTAGCTGGTTGTATCTACATATGAAGAGAGTGTTCAAGCCTCTATTGGGTTTTCTAGCTAAAGCATTTGCTGCTCAATGTATTTATTGTAAAACCTTCAAGATTTTTGCGATCCATCACCTTCTTTTCTTATCTCAGCTACATCTTTGAAGATAAATTGATTCATAAGAATTAAGAATTTTTGTACATATGTAGTTCTAACAGCAAACAAACTTCCTTGATTTTAGTTGTATTGTCTTGGTTTTTTTGTGTGTGTAGCACTAACTTTTAAACTAATCTACAGGTTGGGGTAAATCTCATTAAGATTTTGAGATTAAGAGCATGAAGACTAATTTTATTTATATAAAATTATCTTTGCATTATGCTTTGAAAGATGTTAATCTATTATCTTCAAGTCTGAATAGAGAGTAAAGTCCTTTACAACTAATAGAGAGTCTTTGTGTTTTAATCCAATCAGTCCTTGTATCAAATAATTAGCTGCAAATATATCCACATTTGAAGTTTATCAAATTTGCAGATTTATCTTTTTAGATTTACATGTTTCTTTTCAACCTGATTGGTTGAATATTTCACCAACTGAGTTAAAAAAAACTTTTTTTTATTTATTTTAGTTTTTTTTCAAATAATCTTTTTACTCATCGAACTTTAATTAATTCATCAAATCCATGAAAAAACATTCAGGTATATAAAAAATTCCTCAAGGAATAGTTACATTTCTCTGCACAGCGGCCTTATTTGTTGTGTTATGAAATTACATGGAGTTGAGTTTTGAAGTTAAGAGTTGTAAGAGACTGCAGTGACCTTGGTTTTAAGGAGGTGAATTAAAATTAATTCAGCTCCTAATTAAAGATAAATCTTTCTATTACACTACAAATTGTATAGATTATATATAAGCTATAGATTGATATAAGCTTATGTCTTGTTAGATAATTGTAGACATAAGTTGTTAGATACAATTATCTTATATCTTACGCAGCTGCTTTTTCTAATAGAAAAAGTCCTGGGAATAGTAAAATTAACACTACTTATTTTGATTATTGATGGGAAATATACTAAGAAAAAAAATAAAATTAATATTACATAAAAATTTAAAATAGTAATAAAAATATATGTAAAAATAATAATAAATAAAAACAGTTCAAAAACCTAGTTAGGCTAAAGTACTTTTTTTTTAGAATACAGTTACGAGTTTATGAAGCACAAAATTCTACACCTATTGAAAGTATGTTTTCAAGTCCTATAACAATACGTAAGTTTTTTTAAATTCTCATCAACATAATGATTGTCTCATTGTTATTTTGTTACTTTTTTTTAGTCATAGAAACAAAATGTTATAGGATAAGAGGACGTAATCTAATGAGTAACTACCTTACAAAATAATTTGTTAAAGTTATTTCAATGTTTTTTTTTTAATTAAAAAAAAAATCCTATAGATTATCTAAATATTTGTAAAATCAGAAATGAATAAAAACATAAATGCTTTAATAAAAAAGAATCACAAAAAGAAATAATATGTATGTCGAACGTTAAATCAGTCATTAATTCGCATAATCAAAATATTTTATACAATCATAAAAAAACAGTAGCAAAAACCTACTACTGCATCAATAAATCTACTTACATTATGAACAACCAGTGTGTAAGTAAGAACATTGTGTATCAAGCTACTGTTTTATCCAATAAACCAGATTACATAGAAAAAGTTTATATTGGTATTAATTGGTATTACGACCTCTTTCAAGTTAAGGTATGCAAACCATCTAAAATCTTTTAATTTAATTAAGTACAGCAATGATACGAAATTATCTAAAGAAGTTTGGAAACTTAAAAAAGAAAACTTTTCGTTTGTTACTAAGTGGAAAAATTATCAAGCACTGCCAAGCATATGATCCTTCGTCCAAAATTTGCAACCTTTGTCTTAATGAAAAGTATTATATTTTAACTCATACAGGGGGAAATATATTAAACAAAAGGAACAAGTTGGTTTTAAATTGTAGGCATAAAAATAAATTCCTTCTTTCGTTTTGATACTGGCGATTAGCTGATTTATATGCAGTTTTCTTTGACGTTTTCTTGCATTGTCTCTATAGAGACGTCAGATGTAGCTCCACTGTATTTTGTAATTACATTAACAGTTTTTTGTTTGTATTTGATATAGTACATGGCTGATGCTTGCTGTATAGACATAAAACTTATAGTTCCATGAAAAGTTGTTTTTACTCTCTCTCTCTCTCTCTTTCTATATATATATATATATATATATATATATATATATATATATATATATATATATATATATATATATATATATATATATATATTATAGACAATAAAATTTTTACCTAGTTTTTACTATTTCATTTAATTATAAATCTATTTTATGGTCCTAACTTAATTCTAAATATTGGTGATGGTCTTGGTTATTTTTTAATTGATAACTTGTTAATGTTTTTTTTATTTATTTAGCAACCAGAGACATGCAATATTCTTTCCTAGCAGATGGCTCACAAAGTGATATGGTGGCCTTGTCTTCTGCATTTGGGGCAATATGTTTCTTGTCGTTTTTAGTTATTTTGATTTATGTTTGTTGGAAGCAAAAACATGAGTAAGACAAAAAAATATTTTTTATTTTATTATTTGAATTAGTTATGAGTTCTCTCTAATGCAGGGGCCACTCCCAAGATACCATAGATGCTAAAAAGGAGTCTTAAAGACTTTTAGGCAAAGCTTATTCTTTCAATGGTTATTCAGTTTATTTTTACTTTGCAGAATTGTGTACAATGAACATTTAAAAGTCACTAGCAAAACCGAATCTATGTATGATCGCAGTGATAAAGCTTATTCTAATGCATCTTCTTCTAATCCGGATACTATTTATGCTCATGGTGAAAGAGATAGGTATATATATATATATATATATATATATATATATATATATATATATATATATATATATATATATAAATATATATATATATTATTTAACCTTCACATTTTCTATTTTTATTTTTTATTTCGATCAATTTTTGTTTCTGTTTTTTTATTTTGTTTCTTTTTATTTAACTTTTAAAGTTTAGTTTATGTTAGTTATATGTTTTTGTTGTTGTTGTTTTTTATTTATTTAATCTATTTTTTTTTAGTATCGAACGTTCTAAAGCCTACAGAAAAAATGGTAAAATTTTGAAATCATTTTCTGTCTATTTATTATGTTTTTTATAAATGTTTTTTATGTTTTTCTGTCTATTTATTATTTTGTTTATAAATGTTTCTTGTGTTTTTCTGTCTATTTATTATGTTTTTTATAAATGTTTCTCGTGTTTTTTCTCGGTCCTGTTTTGCTTTTCAGTTTTTTTTACATTTATTTTTTATTTACATTTTTTTTATTTATAATTAATTTTTTATTTTTTACATTTTTTTAATCAAATATATTATTTAAAGCTTACTTACTTATAAAAAATGCTAAAATACGAATAAATATGAGAATTATATTTTAAAATGCAGTAATGTAAAGAATGCTGAAATACGACGAAAATAATATGAAATACGATTAAAGACAAGAATTTTGTTGTCTATTTAAAAAAGCAAGTGTAGTATTTTTGTCATTTAAGGTATTTAATTGACAACAACAATTTCTCAATATTTATTTTTTAATTAATCTACTAAGTTTTCATGTTTTTACGATGCTATAGTCTAAAGCTCATAAATATATCCGTATTATAGGAATAATTTGCATATTATCAGAATATTTTATTTTATTTGCATATTATTATAGAGACATTTTTTTATTATTACTATTCTGCTTAATTTTCTCAGACCTCTGCTAAATTTTTTCAAATTTCTTTAAGTTGCGCTTAAGTGTTATTTTAAGTTGAGCATTTTTTGAACAAATATTAAGTCAAGTGTACAAAGGTCATAGTTTAACGTTGATATTTTACGGAGTTATGGAGAAAACTATAATAACTTTGTAGTCTTTTTATCTTTATCGTTATCTTTACGGCCTACTTTATTTATACGGCCGGATTTTTTACTTTTAGTTAAAGCCATTTTTAAAAATTATGTTTTTAAAACTTATAAATTCTTGAATATTTGCAGAATTAATTTTCTTTATAAATTTTAAGTGTCTAAAATAGTATATATATATATATATATATATATATATATATATATATATATATATATATATATATATATATATATATATATATATATATATATATATATATATATATATATATATATATATATATATATATATATATATACATTATTAAACGACACATAAGAAGTTAATAATAAAAAGATATTAAAACAATTAAAATGCATTGCTCTAATTTTAGTACTCTTCATGAGAAACACAAATATAAAAAAGAAATTTAAAATAAAAATACTTTCTTTCAAAATAAATTTAAAATAAAATTACTTTCTTTCAAAAGAAATAACGCTCATATAATTTGAAAGATAATTTCTTTTGATTATGCATTAATAGCTTATAAACTTATTTGTCACCAACTAATTAAAAACACAAATAAGCTTGAATTATAGTAAATCAGAAAAATTGAAAAAAAAAATAAATACAATTATAAGTAAATGGAAATACAATAAATAAATGGAAATACAATTATACTTCATGAATGACATATTTGTTTTCAATAATGATAGTGTGTTAATGCTTTGCATCATCGCACGCTAAAAAATGTTCAAACAAAATTTAATGTTTAATGTAGAGTTTAGCTGGTTGTATCTACATATGAAGAGAGTGCTCAATCTTGTATCAGGTTTTCTAGCCAAAGCATTTGCTGTTCAATGTATTTATTGTAAAACCTTAAAGATTTTTTTAATCCATTGCCTTCTTTTTATATCTCAGCTACATCTTTGAAGATAAATTGTTTCATAAGAATTAATTTGTTGATATGTAGTTCTAAAAAAAGTTTGATTTTTTAATCAAATTTTGTTGTCTGGTTTTGCAAGACCAGAACTGATTTTGAGCAGTAATAAGATCCATTCATGAAAGATGAAATATCAGGCTATAAAGTTCTTATAGTTTTCAACACTGTAAAATACCAGCATTAAACTATAACTTCTGTACACTTGACTTGATATTTGATTAATTAATTTAATTAATTTCAAATTAATTCATCAAACCCATAAAAAAACATTCAGGTATATAAAAATTCAACTAGTCATGAAATTTCTCCGCACAGCAGCCTTATTCGTCAAGATTCGTGTTATGGAATTACAGAGTTGAGTTTTGAAGTTAAAGAGTTGTAAGAGAGGGTTGTAACTACAACTAAAGCCTCTTCGACTGCAGTGACTTTCATAAGTTGTTAGATAATTGTATCTTATATCTTACGCAGCTGCTTTTTCTAATAGAAAAAGTCCTGGGAATTGTAAAATTTACGCAACACTTATTTTAATTATTGATTGTAAATATACAAAAAAAAAAAAAATAATAATATATAAAAATATAAAATAGTAATATAAATATATGTAAAAACAATAATAAATAAAAACAGTTTAAAAAAACTAGTTAGGCTAAAGTACTTTTTATTTAGAATACAGTTACGAGTTTATGAAGCACAAAATTCCACACCTATTGAAAGTATGTTTTCAAGTCCTATAGCAATACGTAAGTTTTTTTAAATTCTCATCAACATAATGATTGTCTTATTGTTATTTAGTTACTTTTTTTTTAGTCATAGAAACAAAATGTTATAGGATAAGAGGACGTAATCCAATGAGTAACAAAATAATTTGTTAAAGTTATTTCAATGTTGTTGTTTTAAATAGAAATTTTAAAAAAATCCTAAAGATTATCTAAATATTTTCATAATCAGAAATGAATGATAACAGAAATCACAAATTTAATTACAATCATGCTTTAATAAAAAAGAATCACATAGAGAATTACAATCATGCTTTAATAAAAAAGAATCACAAAAAGAAATAATATGTATGCTGAACGTTAAATCAGTGTTAGTAAGAACATTGTGTATCAAGCTACTGTTTCATCCAATAAACCAGATTACACAGAAAAAATTTATATTGGTATTAATGAGACTTCATGTTAAGGTATGCAAACCATTAAAAATCTTTTAAGTTAATTAAGATACAGAATTATCTAAAGAAATTTAGAAATTTAAAGAAGAAAACTTTTTCATTTGGTACTAAGTAGAAAATTATCAAGCACTCCCAAACATATAATCCTTCATCTAAAATTTGCAACCTTCGTCTTAATGAAAAGTATTATATTTTAACGCATACAAAGGGAAATCAGTGAACAAAAGAAACGAGTTGGTTTCAAATTGTAGGCATAAAAATGAATTCCTTCTTTAGCTTTAAGATACTGGTGATTAGCTGATTTATATGGAATTTTCTTTGGCCTCAAATTTATATATATATATATATATATATATATATATATATATATATATATATATATATATATATATATATATATATATATATTTTATATATATATATATATATATATTATATATATTATATATATATAATTATATATATATATATATTTTATATATATATATATATATATATATATATATATATATATATTATATATATATATATATATATATATATATTATATATATTATATATATATAAATTTAAAGATTTATGGGAACTATGAAGTAAATACTTATTGCCAGAATTATCGCAAACTAAGTTTTATTTTTTGTAAAAACTGTTAAGAAGCATGAGGGTAGTGGGTATCTTATCCAAGAATTTGATAATTTTGTTAGCTGTATGCTTGATTGTATCAGTCTTGTCAAGCTCTTAGCGCCTCTTGCTTTAAGTAGCAATGTAATCATAATTTCTAGATTAATTTAATAGATTATTTCTGAATTGATATTGTTAAGTTAGTATGAAGTAGTATACTCTGAATTAGTTTTCTGATTTTTTTACTTTGTAAATGTATGAAGATGTCAGTTTACTATATATTTTTAATTGCTTACCTCTCGTGTTTTTTTAGTGCTGTTTTGTTTATCAGTTTTTTATTATTATAATTTATTTTTTATCTACATTTTTTTAATCAAATATGTATTTTTTAAAGCTTACTCAATATGAAAAGTATATTAGAATAAAAATTTTACCATAAAAATTATTTTAGCCCTTTTTAATTAAGCCTAAGAGTACACCTGCTGATGCTCCATTTAATAGGATTTTTTTTGGTCAAGTATTTTATATTTATGTTTACTTGTGCAATGTTTTCGCTTTATAGTATTTTATTCTAAGTTGGGGTGATTTTTTTAGTTAATCCAGCGCACTAATAGTTTAATGTTGGTATTTTATGGAGTGACGGAGAAAACAATAAGAACTTTATAGTCTTAATCTTTATAGCCTACTTTATTTATATGGCCGGATATTTTGCATTTATTTTTAAAAAACCAATTTTAAAAATTTATAAAAAGGTTTTAAAACTTATGGCTTCTTGAATATTTGCAGAATTAGTTTTCTTTATAAATATAAAAAGTTTCTAAACAGTATATGTTTATATATTATCAAACAACACATAAGAAAAAAAGATATTAAAACAACTAAAATTCAAGTAAACAAGCATTATTTAAAAACAAAAACCATTATATAAAATGTTGCAAATTTCAAATTTAACAAAATAAATATAATTGTATTATAGATGATTTAGTCATTAAGTTTTATTGAAATTTCTCTTTACTACTGCTTAATATATATATAAGATACACGTGTAGTGGCGAACATTTGTTTTTATCATTTTTGTTATTTTAATAATAATTGTTAAAATTACTTGTATTCGTAACACTTTAAAAAAATTTAAGAATTAAAAAGTTTAAATCAAAAATTAAAGAATTAAAAATTTTCTTGAATATGTATATGTTTATATATTATTAAACAACACATAAGAAAAAAAGATATTAAAACAACTAAAATTTAAGTAAACAAGCATTATTTAAAAAACAAAAACCATCATATAAAATATTTCAAATTTCTACTATTAAACAAAATAAATATAGTTGTATTATAGATGATTTATTCATAAAGTTTTTATTGAAATTTCTCTTTACCACTGCTTGATATATATATAAGGTACACCTGTAGTGGTGAACATTTGTTTTTATCATTTTTGTTATTTTAATAATAGTTGTTAAAATCACTTGTATTTTTAACACTTTAAAAAAATTTTGATTACAATGGAAATGTAGTAATCAAAGTTTTCTGCACTGTTTTTTACTACAAAAAAAAAAGAGTTACACTGAAAACTTTATGATTTTTAAGTGATCGAAATTTTCATCACTATTCACTCCTACAAAAAAAGAATACCTAGTCAGCCTAGGTGTAACTGAAAACAAGTTTATGATTTTAAAGAAGTTTTATAGATACTTAATGAAATCGGAAAATCATTTATAACTGGTTCTTATGATAAGATTATTTTGAAAAAAGTTTTAGTACAAAATTCTGCTTCAAAAGTACGCTTCACGAGTAACATAAAAAAATACTTTCTTTCCAAAGAAATAACGCTCTCATATAATTTGAAGGATATTTTGCTTTTAATTATGCATAAACACAGTACAAAACAGGAAACTTTACAAAACACAGATATCTTGGTTTGTTGGGTTCAAAGGCAACAGGTTGTCAAAATAAATAAGCAAGAATAAAAAACGTTATGTACAAATAATATTTACTATTCAAACCAGGTCAATAAATTAAATTTTAATTTATGTGAATAATTTTTTATTTTGGTTGACTCTTTTAAATGAGTTCAGGTTTTTCTCTGCTAAAATAAGGCTATTGCCATTCAACTCTGTGTCTGCTTGTGTAAGGCTTGATAAGGTTACAATATACTCTAATTTTTTTATTTTTTGCTGTTTATCAAAATGTTCCTTTCATCTAAAATAGAAAAAGACAATGTTAATTGTTGTTTCTAACAATTCTATAATTTTGTTTTAACTATAATTCAATAATATATATATATATATATATATATATATATATATATATATATATATATATATATATATATATATATATATATATATATATATATATATATATATACATATATATACTTTTTTAGTATTTATTATTCTTCCTAAATCATACTAAGTGTATATCTCTAAATAAATTCTCTGCTTGCAAAATCAATGATCTTCAAGATTCTATTTTGTCTTCATAAAATAATAACATTATTAAAAATTATTGTAAATAATTTTTACTTAGTAAAATTTATTACTTAGCATATAACTTAACTAATCCATGTTGTTGTTGTTTTTTTTTAAATAAATTATTATTTTTTAGGTATTATACAAGACTAAGAAATTGGAATGTAACAATGTCTACTGTTCTTGGTGTTGATGGAGAAGAATATTATAACGTAATAGAACACATGTGTTTTCCTGCTTATTTATAATCAAGTTAGTATAGCAAACTGGCTATGGGATAGTATAAACATAATGAGGTGAAAGTTTTGTCTAAAATAGCAAATCCTCTAAACTGCTCAGAATTGAAACTTATTGCAAAGTACTGTGGGTAATTATTAAACGAAAATTAAAAAAAAAACTATGAGTTGTTAAAGATTTAAAATATTTTTTAAAAAGCATCAATTCGTTATGATTTTTATTTTGTGCTCAAGCACAAAACAACAATTATAACAGTTATTTTGAAAAATTATTTGTTACAAAAAAATTTTATTAGATGCCCTAAATAATAATAAATAGGAGTGAATTGAATTCTTTGAAATATTTTATCTTCTTATACTAATAGATTTAAATTAATAATTCTTAATAGAAGTTGATGAGTACCTTTAGAAAAAAAAATTAGGAAAATGTTTATCGGAAAAAAATGAAATTTGTGAAAAATTAAAATATTAATTTGATAAGTTTATAATTGTAAAAAGTTTTAAAGCCTAAAATTTGTATGCCTCAAAGGAAAAGTTAGTGATGATGTCTTGCTAAAGTTGCTGTTTGTAGAGTTTGTAAATGTACTGATCTTTTCATTATCCTGTAATTTAATAAATTTTGGTTTGTATTTTGTTGGGTCAATTTTATTATTTAGTTGTAAACTTAAAAAGTTGTCATTCTTGTTGACCCAAGATTCATGATAGGTATTGTTTTTCCAATTGTCTTGTGTGTGTATTTGAATTGTGGGTACTCATTGGGCTAATGTTGTGTATTAAGGTATATTAAACATATACTTACAAAAAATATAGAAAACATGAAAAGGTATTTTATATGTATATTTTATTTCATAATAATATTTGTTTTTAATGTTATTTGTTATTAATATAACTAAATGACTTAACTTAAAAGTGAAGTAATCGTAATGTTTTTTTTTTTTTTTCAAAAAAACGGAAAAAGTCTTATACTTAAACTTCAAACTTTATATCGTCGGTATAATTTATATAAACGTAATTCAACGTAACCTCGTCAAAAAGTTAATTTGAGATATATACAACGAAATTTACAGAAAAAAATTATTTTAAAAACGAATTGTTAAAAAAACTCCATTATAGACTAATGAAAAACATTGTCTAAACATATTATTTCAAACATGAGCTAAAATAAAAAACATTGATTTTATAAATACAAATACGTAAATTATAATGTGCAAAAGTCTATTATATCATAGTATTATTGATTTATTTTTATAATGAGTTGTAATACAAGAGTGTTATAAATGCTACACAGCTGTTTTTAGCAAGTGTTAAACTAGATGTTTTCTTTATATCTTTTCAGGTTTCGCTTTAAAGATCGTATTAGAATCAAGTTTTGAATAGCTGCACTGAAACAAGATAAGTTTTTATTATAACATTTTTTTATTGTTATTTTTATAGTTTTTTATTTTTTAACTATTCTACCTTTTTATTTTAGCTTTACTATTGACATATGGTTTTAATTTAGTAAATTTTTATGTTTTTAAATTTACTTTATTGATTATAAGATAACAGTTTAGAAAAAGAAATTTAACACAATTAGGGTAAGAAATTAGCTTTTAACATAACAAAACCTGGTTTTACTGTAAATTCTTATGCTATTCTTAGTTTAATTATATGTCAAATGTTAATAATGATAATCTTTATTATTTCTTTCAACTAACTTTATTTAAAAACTTTGGTATATAAAATTCGCCGAATGGTCACACACGAGCAGTGAACAGAGGAAAGAAACATTAGAATAAAGAAGAATTATTTATCGAACGAAGCATATTTTGACAGTTGTCAAGACAAAAATAAAGATTAATAGAGGAAAATTTCAAAACAAGTAAGACAGACAACACATCCAAGCAGTACTCACAATAACAATAACAAAAAATTGTATCATATAAAAAACTAGTACGTACGAAGATATACAACAAATATAACCAAAATAATTTTTTTTATAACTAGTTTATCCCGTCAGACAAACGTCATCGCCACTTGTGCTTTACCCCGCGACTTCCTATATGCCAAATTTTTTAAATAATATTGGGCCTAGCCCGTAAGGGTTAGTGTTAAGGTCATCGAGCACGTCTATTTTTCTAATCGCAATTACTGTCACCGCGAAAGAGGATTTTTGTCTGTGGAACATGCCTGGGCTAGCTTTTTAGTCATAAGTCAGTTATAAATCCATGCATAGGTGTTTAATCCATCATGGTTTTCTGGAGTATGGCTGGGCTGGCTTGGTTTAGTTCAGAGACAAATCTTTTACGCTGGTTACTAACAATACAAGACTCTACTGAACGACATAAACAGCACAGACTTACACATTACACCTATACACCCTTATGCACATACAGCCTGTTTACATCTTTTGCATGCTTTTTGTTCTTTCATAGATGAACTATCTTTGTTTGAACTCATCCTTATTTAGATAATATTTTCTTTTAATAGATATGTTGTTGAAATGTAGATACAGATTTGTATGTTATCTATATGTGTTTATCATGTGTGATTGAATTTTTCATTTAAGGATTCATCTGAATTTACATATAAGTATAAGAGCGATTCTTATAAACTAGCGGCTTTCGACTTGCTTTTATGAAGTATGTTTTTTCTTGTTATTTTGTTACGGTCTCAAAGTTACATTTAATTCGGACCGTAGAGAAAACTTTATTTTTCGGAATTTTCGATTTAGATATGGTCTGTCACGGAGAAAACAGTCCGCCGGAGTAAACTGTCCGGCCGGACTGTTTACTCCGGAGTAGAATGTCCTACATTGGAGTAAATTGTCCTACTTAGCAAATAATTAGTTAAAGAATCGCGGCTGATTTTGTACCAATAATTGGTACAAAATCAAAAAATTGGTACAAAATCAGTGCAAAATTTTGTACAAAATCAGTGCAAAATTTTGTACAAAATCAGTACAAAATTTTGTACCAATAATTGGTACAAAATCAGCCGTGATTATAAGATTTTATATTTGTTATATATTTAGCTATAATTAATATTGTTCGATTTAAAATAAATTATTATGATAAAATATCAAAAATCATTTTAAAAATGGATGAACAGAAGAATAATTATGAAGAAATGATGCTTGCTGATGTTAGTAACTATTTATCTAAATCTGTATATCGTCATGACTGCACCCTAAATGATAAGCAGACAATTAGACGAAAAGCAAAAAGGTAAAGATTGTAAAATTTTTTTAAAATAGTGATTTACTAGTAACTCAACTAGTCTAGTTAGTCTAGAGTTACTAGTGAGTCACTATTTTACTCACATTAAATGTGAGTAAAATAATTTTACTCGCATTTAATGTGAGTAAAATGGTGAGTTGAAATAGACTCGCAATACAGTAATGTGACATAACTGTATTGCGTATATATAATGTATATACATATATATATGTAAATCGTAACATATATATGTATATACATTATATATGCATATATATAATGTATATACATATATAGGGGAAACTGGGGTAAAATGGGCTACTTAAGAATGAAACCCTATAAAAGTCACAAAAATAAATAAAATGATTACAAATATATGTTGAAACATCAGAATACAACATAGACAACGTTGTAACAAAACAGCAAGTCAAAAGAATGTAAATTAATTGATTTATTACATTTTTTTAAAAATAACATAAAAACCCCATTTTACCCCAAGCATGGGGCAAAACGGGGTAATGGATGGGGCAAAATGGGGTCAAAGGAGGAACTCAAACAAATATGATAAATCAATCACTGCTAGTACAAATATAATCAAACACTGCTAGTACATAGCTCACACAAAAAGTAAGGTTTTTTGTTTCTTTCATCAATGCCTGCACAAGAATAATGGGCCCAAAAAATAAAGAAAACTTAAATTAAACATTTTTTTCTTTATAAAAGGACTTCAAAAAGCTTAATTATCTTGATACTTTGCATAATTTTATTTTTTTACTTCTAATTTGGATTCCATTTCTTAAAAATGTGTTATAAAACCGCAAACACAAAACCAATATTTAAAAGTATTTTCTGATAACGCTTCATTTATTTACTTGGTTATTTTCCTGTTATGGCCATACCATTATTGCTAAAGCAATCCAGTTTTGACCAATTGAGCTATGTAGGCGTTAGTCCATAAAGAAGCCAATCCTTGTTGTTTGTAATCTATTTAGTTTTGACTTGAAACAATTTAGAGAAGTGACTGTATTGTTATTAAGTAAGTTCCAGCGGTTAACTACATGTTCCGATAAGATATATTGTCTGACCACAGTTGTAAATCTATGCTTAATGAGTGTAAGTGGGTGACTTCTTTCGTTTATTCTTTTGTTTGTGGCTAATTCAAAAAAAAAAAATTTAATGAAATTTAGTAGGCAACTCATTCAGCTGCTTGTATGCTTCTATTAAGTCTGATCTAGTTCTTCTTTCCTCAAGTGTCCATACACCTAATTTAAGTATTCTGTCTGCATAAGATCGATGTTGCACTTCATTATTATATTACTCTTATCTTATCTTGCATTATTATTTTACTAAAATGATGTTTTTCAATTAGTTCTTTATCTTTGATATAAAACTATCAAAGATGTCACTTCAGATACAGAGATGACTGTCACTCAACCTGTGTGGTTTTTTAGTTATTTTAACTTTGTTTTTTCATATTTTAGATGGTTTTTTTTGTTTAGCATATATTTTTAAGCAAAATTTGTTTTCATTATTATTTACTGGTAGTATTTACGAATATCTTTATGAAAAAAATGTTTTGCAAACAATCTAAAATTTAAATAGATTAGAAAATATTTATAACATTTAGAACAATTAATTTTTTAATGAAAATTAGATACATATTTGGCTTCGTAAGTTTGTCCATATTAATAAGTGTTTCTGACATATTTATTTAAGAGGTTTGAAAAAATCCTAATTCTTATGTTGATTTGTTTTTAAATTTGTTACTATTGCATTCTTCATACAATGGAAGGAGTATGTTTAATAGTTTTTGGAACATTTTCCTACCCAACGCAAGCTTATTTAACCCCCCCCCCCCCATATTGATAGCGTGAAACTTGTTGAAAGAAATCTTGATAACGTAGAATTTGTTGAAAGTAATCTTGATAGCGTAGAATTTGTTGAAAGTCATGTTGATAGTGTAGAATATGTTGAAAGTCATGTTGATAGCGTAGAATTTATTGAAAGTCATTTTGATAGCGTAGAATTTGTTGAAAGTAATCTTGATAGCGTAGAATTTGTTGAAAGTAATCTTGATAGCGTAGAATTTGTTGAAAGTCATGTTGGTAGCGTAGAATTTATTGAAAGTCATGTTGATACTGTTAAGTTTGTTGATAGTCATGTTGATACTGTTAAGTTTGTTGAAAATCAAGTTGATACTGTAAAGTTTGTTGAAAATCAAGTTTTTCAAAATTTTTTCAGGTACTTCGTTCTGTTAATAAGTGATGTTTACCTTTTCATTCATAAACTAACAGCAATGGAAAACAGCACAAATCGATAAAATACATGGTGCAGAGATATGGTGACAAACACGAGAAACTCAGTTCAAAGGTATGTTGTTTTAATGATATGTTCATTTATGGATTTTTAAACAATTTATAGTTAAGTAAATTATTTCAATTGAAGAAGAATTGTTTTTTTTTTAGGATTCGTAAGTAAATTCCTTGTGAACTTATAAAAAATTTTATTTTTCAGTACTTACTGAAGTACGAACACCTTTAATCGTAATTATTTTTGCAGTTTCATATTGCTGATACCTGTTTGTTAAAAACTGTCACTCTATTCCTTGGCAGGATTCCGACTCCTCCCTAAAAAACCAAATATCTTTAAAACTCCCAAATAATAAATAAAAAAAAAATAGGAAAATGTGGCTATTCTGCTTTTACTGCTTTTTATACCTTCTATAAAATTGTATTCATTGATTATACTAATTATAGAGAGGCATATGATTATTTGATTCTCTACAGAGTTGTTAGTCCTTGGCCTTGGCCAAAGGTTAAATCCTTGGCTATGAAACTTGGCCTTGGCCTTGTCCTTGAAACCTTTGGTCTTGGCTTTGACCTTCAAAAATTTGGCTTTCTATCATATCTTTTTGAATTTAGAACTATAATTGTTTCATAAACATTAGTATTTCATAATGTCTTTACCTATACCAACAACCAACTTGTGCTTATATGGCATTGAATTTGAAAAGCGTGTATTAAGCATATTTGTTTTAATTACAAGCTATAAATCTTTTAATACTAAACATATTTAATTAAAAACTGTATAATTTAAATTTATCATTGTGTAATTGTTTTTAGTAATACTGTTATATTACCTACAATATTGAATAAAATTTTTGTTAGAATGAATTGATAATGGCCCTCAAATAGATGGGATGTCTGATTCGTTGCTTGACAGTTTTACATTTCTTAAGTGTAATAAAGACTGTAAAAAAAAGATTGTTTTGCACATTTTTTAAAAATGTTTAAAAAATGTGTGATGCAAATTATAAAATTATGTGTGTGATGCAAATATTAAGTCGCGTGTTTGTCTGTTTTTAAACCAATAAGCCTCAAAACTGCCCCCTTACTAGATGGTGTGGAAAATCCTTATTTTTACCATATTTTTATTAGTGGTAACCCAAATTTTATATTTTATAATTTAAAAACTACCCTGGTGGCTCTTGATAAATATTTCAATCAAATTGTTAGGAACAACGACTATCCTCTAAAAAGTGCAACGTTGTCGTGACATTTAATTTAAAGAAAAAATTAAAAGCAATGATAAGAGAATTGTTGAAAAAAAATTTAAAAACAACTGTTCTGCGAATTCAAAAATCAACTTGTCACAATTGATGACGTGACTTGAAAATCAACTAATCGGACTTCACTACCGTGACTTTAAAAGCCGTTTTTTGTAAGAATCAGGCAAATTCGGGAAAATGTAGAAGTATTCCCCTTCAAATTGCTTAAATTTTTTATATATTGTTCAGAATATAGAGAAAAACGTTTAGGACAAAAATAATTCTAAAAAAGTTTCCTTCACTCAGAATCCGCCTTTAAAATTTTGAGATTTTTTGAAATTTGTTCTGGAAATTTAGTTTTTGCCATATTTGAACCAATTTTTAGGGAAGAAGTTTCACATAACTCGGGAAAAAGTTTAGGGAAGAAGTTTCACATAACTGTTATAGCTAATATCACACGTAACCCAAAAAACTTTGTTTAAAAAATAAAAAGTTGCTTAAAACTGAGCGATTGACTTATTATCAGTTTAAAAGTACAAAAATATAAAGTTTTGTTAATTTTTAATGATGTTTATTTCTTAACGCGGAGAGTTGCACATACATTTTTTGCAGGATGTAGAATCATAGGGATTTAGTCTGAAAATGCACAGAAAGTTATGTGACACCTGAAACCTATCCAAATATTAAGGTTTAAACTTGAAAAATAATCAAATAGTGTTCTTACAAAACGACCTGTTACCTGTTAAACCGGAGGTTTTGTAAAAATGTAAAAATATCAATGTAACATGGTGCTAACATAATAGTAAAGAAAAAGTCGCTTGATCTTGTTACATACATGAAATAACACGAATAAATTGAACAAAAATCGAACAGCAAGAAAACAGTTTTGCTAATACAATGATACATAAAAGAAACATTCAAATGTATTTCCATTTAAAAATGAATTTTCCATTAATAAATAGAGTTATTTAGATGCTTTAAATAAATGATCCAACCCAAGCCGTGGCTAGCAAACAAAGAAACTCTTATGTCAAGCAGTTTTAAGAACATGACAGACAAAGAAAAGCAATAATATAACATAGATGAGTTGTTGACTTGATGAAAATCCCGGAAATTTTTTTTCTATGAAAATCCCGAAAAATTATATGGTCAACTAGTTGACGAAGGTATGTGGATATACTCTGGAATGATGGTAAAGGGATAGATAAATTAACTAAAAACTACTGAATAATTATTTTTCTTCAAAATTCTTTAAAATCAAATACAATGTCTCAGTTTTACCGTAAACAGTCTGCAAAGAGTAATAATTTATTTACTTTTTAAATATAAATTCTGAGAAAATGGTTCAGAAATTAATACTTTTAGTAATAGAATTCCCGGAAAGTTTTCATATGTGAATATAACCAATAAATATATATTAAAACTCGATTATTTATAAAATATTTAAATAACTTTTTAGCAATGAAAATATAAAATGAAAATATAAAATGCAAACTTATTTAATGATACGCCTCTGTAAATATTTATAATATATTGCTAAACCTATCATACTATATTATATTAAAATCGCATATATATAATCATAGACATTAAAAATCTTTTTAGTATTTTATAGTACATACGCCGTCAGTTTTTTAAATTAAGTAGCAATATCAAGTGCAGGAGCTATTCACAGCAAATGATCTTGGGTTATACAAAACTAGCCATGTACGAAAAGCCCTTACTCTCCTGATCATTTATAGACTATTTGCCATCTTTTAAGCCTTGTGGACATTATACATTATCATCTTCTACAAATCCAATATGCAACAACATAACTGTATTCCTGCACAATCACAGTTATTTTAACTGTTGAGGATTTAATCTGTTTACTCAATCTGCGGATATAAAACAACTTCCACCGCTTAGTATCTAAAAATAAAAAAAGGTTGAATAATTGAGTTTGAATCTAGTGTAATCCTGTTAAAATAAAAGTGTTAACGCAATAGTCAAAAAAAATTTAATGTCTAATTATGTCTATGTAATTTCAATATGTGCATACAAATTTCTCTCAAGCTGTTGTTTGTTTCTAAAAAATAATTAAAACAGGTGGCCACCTAATGTATAAATTAAATTCTTTTATCATTAATTGAAAAAAAAAAAAAATTAAAAAAAAAGCAAAATCTTTTAATATTTTTACTTCTAACAACAAAATTATCACTGTTTTTATTTTTATTTTAACTTTTTTTTAACTGATAGATCAGGAATAAAATTGTCAAGGCTAGAAGCCTTGACAATTTTAAAAAATCATGAAAAAGGTTATATAGTGCAAAATGACAGTTTACAGAAGATTATAAATGTTTTCCAGGTTCATATAATCAGAAAAATCATATTTTCCTGATTTATATAATTCATACAATCAGGAAAATTAAAAGTAAACACCAATCAAAAAACTGAAACATTTTTTTTTTTGCACTTATGAACAGTCACATTCATTGAATGACGAGTAAAATAATGATTTTTTGTAGTCACAAGAGATTCTAGCTCTCTAGACCAGCAGGCTATGTATTTTTTATAGAAAAGAGAACAAAAGGCGTGACAAAGGTTGAAGGTTAGCTGAAAGAGCAGGTTAAACTATGTTTACAATGCATTTTTTCAGAAAGGACATGTTTGATGTATTTCTTTTTATATGGCAACAGTATTCTATGCTAGGATGGATTGGGGAGGGGTAAGAAAGTGACACTAGTGATGTACAGATTAAACATTTTTGGCCAATGCCGATGGATAGTAAAAGGCTGATAAAGATTATTTCTCAAAATCTCAAAAAGCAGAAGAATCCTAGATTAAAAGACAAGAGTTGCAATGTTCAAAGGTTTATAGGATATAACTAAAAAAAAGCCAAGTTATTTCTGCAGGTTGCAGAGCTTTAAATGGCTTAATAAAAAATACTTAAAAATGAAGCCAAAAATGGCCTCTTTTCTAACTTAATTCACACGTTATTTTATAGTATATGGTATATGGTAGTGTAACATTGGCAATGAATGTTGATGATCTCTAGTGTCTGGAAAGAACAATACAAAAGATGATTAGTTGGATATGCGGAAAACGGAATAGTAATAATATCTGGTAAGATGTGTCAAAATGAGGTTTAAAAATATAGAAGTAGTTTAGGCATGTAGAGTGTTGTAACGCAGATAATTGGATATCAGAGCGTAGAAAGTTATCAGTGTCAATAAAAAAAAAGGTTGAAGTAGAAAAACTTGCAGAGAGTGTGTTGAAGATGAAGCTTGTAACATGAATAGCTTTATTTAAGGAGATACTTAAGATAATGGATATTTGAATAAATGGCTTTATTTGAAACATCAAATAAAAAGACACAAGAACACAAAATAACAACGATGACATTGTTTTACATTAATTTTTTTTTATTATCAAAATTTCATTTAATTATTTTCAAAATGCAGGATAAAATTTTAAAATTGGTTCATCTGCCATCAATTGGAGAATCAAGAACTTAATTAAAAAAAGCTGATGCCAATACCAAAGCCGATTGTGCAAAAAGTGGCCAATTTAGTCGATGCTGATTAATTGGTACATCACTAAGGATCACGAAAAACAGATGCAACCTTAGCAGATGCTAACTTTGCAATCAATTTTATATATGGTTTTCAAGAATCATTAGAAGTAAGAAATAATCCAAGAAGACACTAAGTAGATGATTCATTCATTCGTTCATAGATACATGTTATTGCATCTAGATTTAGCTTGAAATAACTGAATTTTAAATTCAAAATTATCCAAGCAATGCTATAGTTGTGATGACATCATTTATAAGCTGTAATGC